ACTTTCTTTCTTCTACTTTCTTTTCTTTCTTTTCTCTCTTCTTCTTCTTCTCTGGTGGAGTTATGTCAAATTTGGCGCAACCATATTTATGTAAAAGTTCTTTGTCCTTTAATAGCTCTTCTATTCTGTTTTCTATTTCATCTTCAAGAACAGCGCATGTGCCTTCTTTGCATTCTAAGAACTTTTGTTGGACTTCATCTTTCCAATCGGCGTCATCTCTGTCAACAAGTCTGTCATTGACAAATTTTAAGACTGCTCTTTGTAATGTTTTATGGTTCTTGTCATATTCCCAGAAACAGAACTTTAGAACAAATTCACCTTTCTTGTTTACACTATGTAAGATTTTATGGTCGACAGAGTTTTGAGTCAAAAAGCTTGTCTCGAATATAGATAGCGAAATCGCTAGACATTTTCTAAAAGATAAAAATTTTAATTTTTCTAAAAATATGTTAGAAAAAAAGTTTGCTGACATTGACAAGAAATTTGAGAATGTTTTAAACAAGAACAAGAGGAAGTTAGAAAATGCTCAGATAAAACCTATACATGACAAGTTCTTATTTGCTCAGAATGGTATAACAGGTCTAATTGCACCACCTGGGTCGGGTAAGACTTTCACTTATCTTAAAATGGCTGCACAACAACAAGAACTAGATGAGAAGAACCCATTCTATGAGTTAGTAGTCATTTGTAGTACTTCTGGTCAATTTGACCAAACCGTAAATTCGTTCAAAGATATTATAAAGAAGTCTAAGTTAGTATGTATAAAAGACTCTGAGTTGTTAGATTGGATAAAGAAGTACCAAAGAAGAGTTTTGAAGTACAATGCTATAAATGAGTATGTCAATTCGAAGTTTAAAGACCCAAATGAGGAAATGCAGAGAATATTAGAGAAGAAACACTTCAGAAACAAACAGAAAGAGATAGAATACATTTCGAAGAAATTGCAATCTTACGATTGGAAGACTTACCCTCATAGATGTCTTCTTATCTTAGATGACTTTGCTTCTCATCCTTTGTTAAAGAACAGAGAACAAGACATGTGTCGAATTCTTAAGAAGCTCAGACACTTTAACATCTCAGTTGTCATTTGTGTACAGACAGCAAAGAGTTTAAGTAAGGATGTAAAGAGAATACTTACTGATATCATACTTTTCCCTGGATTGTCCGAAGACGATTTCATGGAACTTATGAAAGAGTCCATGGCAGGTAAGTTTGACAGACATGAACTATGGGAGAAGTACAAAGTCATACAAGACCCTCATACTTCTTTCAGAATTCATATCTACGCGAACAAAGTTCAAATTGTAAAAAGTCAATAAAAATAATGTTTAGGGTAGAAGGTTAGATATACCCTCTTTTCTACCCTCTTTTCTACCCCAGTTATTTTATAAGCGTTTTACATGGTAAACGTTATTTTTAAAATTTTGTGAAAACTCAACGGTTTGACACATGCCCTAAAAATTATTTTACTCAGAATTTTGTGCTGAATTCAGCAAAAATATATTTTAGGGTAGAAGGTTAGATATACCCTCTTTTCTACCCTCTTTTCTACCCCAGTTATTTTATAACCGTTTTACATGGTAAACATTGTGAATTCGTGAAATTCTAAACAATTTCGTAGCTTCTATTTCTTCTGTCAGTACATCGAATGTTTTAACTATGCCGAATGTTTCTTTATATTTCTTCTTGACATCAGATAGAAGGAAATCGTCAGCTGTTGGATAGTTTTTGTTCAGAAATGTCAACATGTCCATTTTATCTTCTGCTGGCTTTTCTGCCTCCCTCTTTAAATCTGCATAGTCGTTTCTCATTCTTTCTATCTCTTTGACGGAGTAGTTATATTTCCTCATTGCTGCTTTACATTTTGAACATTGTGGGTTCATTTTAGCATTGTACATTGAAATCTTACCTGCTAGTATGACTAAGGCGTCAATTGCTCTCTTTAACTCAAAAGTTGCGGGTTTTATCTGTTCATTCCATATCTTACCTCTTCTGTCTTTATCTCTTATCTGCCATACACATTTTGCAACTAACGAAACAAAGTTGTCGTAGGTCTTAAACTCCCCAGATTTGTATATGTCAGAGATGTTCTTATATACCATATCGCAATCTTTGTCCATGACTTTGTGGTTGCAATGAAATCCAAGAAACTCATAGTTAACCTTTCGTATGAACTTCTTTATTTCAACTGAGTCAGTTGGTCTGACTTCTATTTCATCGAATTCTGGAATAGTGAGCTTTTGTTGTTGGATTTCAGGAAGTTTAGGTAGATGGTCAATAATATCCTGCATTTCATAAAGATACTGTTCATTTGTTTCATCTTTCGCAGTGCAATCTAAATCTCCTTGGAGAAGTTCTTGCTTTATCTTCTGGATTGTTGTTTCGAAAGTATATGAAGAAGGAATGAAGCTTTTCATCTCTACTAACATTGAAGTTGGGTTCATGACTAAAGAGTTTGGTGCTGTTGTTGCTAACATGTTCTTACAATAAAAATAAAAAATATTTTTTTTTAAAAAACCAACTTTATTTTTTATTTCGGGAAAACTCATGACAAATTCAAGAGGGTAGAAAAGAGGTTAGAAAACAGGTTAGATATACCCATCTACCCTAAAATATATTTTTGCTGAAAAAGTGTCATTTTTTCATGTCCGAAGACTCGAAGGTGCAACACTTCCAAAATACCGACGAACTCAGAAGAGCAGCATGGCAGTATCTTCTTGACAACTTCTTTGAGTTCTCCAGGTACACCTTGGAAAATGCTGAAGAACTCCGACACAGAGAATTTGGAGAAATTGCACTCCAATACTACCTTGACAAACAAAGGGTAAACAAAGGGTAAACAAAGGGTAAAATAAGACTAAAAACTTAACGTTTAAAAAGTGACATTTTTATGAGCTCCGAGTCACCGAGAAAACTTGGTCAGATGTTAGCAGCTTACTTCCCTGAGGAGGATGGAAGCGTTACATACGTAAGGTTCAAAAACAACGAACCTGGAATTGCGTACCAAATTCGCAATTACATGACCATGGAAGAGTACGAAAGGTTTCTACAAGAGAAACCAGCTCTAAACAACTCAGAAAAGAAAGAGTAAAAAGTTTAACTCGTAATTGTTTATTTTTTTACTTGTATGGGCAAGCTGCAAGAATGAAGTCGACTATCTCAGTCTTTGTCTTGACCAGTTGGACTGCTCTTGCGAGTACGTCTGTTTTACGGTCTCCAGCTGGTGTCTGACCTTCGTAATTGCGCATGTTCTTGAGAGCTCCAACTGTAAATGGTTGTAGGATGAAGAGTCTCTCAGACTGCTTGAGGTAGTCGTCTCTGTCTTTGACCGAATCTGTGGTACGAGTCGAATCGGTCGATTTGAGGGAAGAGACTGAAAGCCTGTCGTCTTCCATAGGGGCTGTGGCATACTCTTTGCGTAAACGGTTCAGACCTTCCTCGAACTCTTGGTCTCTCTTCGATTGGGATTGAGATTGGAATTGGGGTGGAGGGTTTGACATGAACATCCAAGGGTTAGGGAAGTAAGGCATGGGTTGAGGAGGGTAGTTTGGAAAGCCTTGTGGTGGGTAGTTTGGAAAGCCTTGTGGTGGGTAGTTTGGAAAGCCTTGTGGTGGGTAGTAACCTTGAGGTGGAAATTGGTAGTAATTCGGAGGTCCTTGTTGGAACTGAGGTTGCTGAGGAGACTGTTGTGGTGCTGGAGCATGCTGTTCCTCTGGCTGTGGAACGGGTTCAGTAGGTGGGACGTCGGACATTCGTTTGTGTCTTAACCGTCTTTGTTCTGAAACAATATAATATTGTCTTGAAAAAGTACAACATTGTCTTGAAAAAGTACAACATTGTCTTGAAAAAGTACAACATTGTCTTGAAAAAGTACAACATTGTCTTGAAAAAGTACAACATTGTTCTGAAAAAGTTCAAGACTTGTTCTGAAAAAGTACAGCTGTACTCAAATTTGAGAGACATTGTACTGAATTTATACAACATTGTTCTGAAAAAGTACAACATTGTTCTGAAAAAGTACAATATTGTCTTGAAAAAGTACAACATTGTCTTGAAAAAGTACAACATTGTCTTGAAAAAGTACAATATTGTACTGACTCAGTATGGAGCTTGACCCCTTAGACGAAGCAATTTATCTAATTGAGGTAAATGAAACCGTGAAGGAATATCTCAGCAAGTGCAAACCAAGCAAGTCCATTGGCTTCTGGTTGTCCAAGAATAGTGTCTTAAAGTTGGAAATTGAAACAGGTGTTGCAATTCAAGTTCCAGAAGGCACTGCATTCGATGATATTAAGGATGTGAAGAAAGAAGCCCTCTTGAAGTTCTTCATGAAACGTCCTTGGATACTACTTCCATATCGTGAGAGCCCAATTCCACGAATTACACAAATTCTCAGAGCACTACTTCACTACTCTGGACAGCCGTTCTTCATAACCTCAGAAGGCGACATCCAACCAATTCTTCAGCCAGTTCAGTAAACATCTCATTTTAACTTCACTTTTTTTATGTTTTTACTCACACTCGTACTCAACAGGTTTGTGTACAACTATTTCAACTGTGAACCTTGTATTGACCGGTCTTCCTGCAAATGCAAGTTCGGTCAATACACAATTTATGGTGGCAAGAAAGACAGTGGGGAATGTTATTCTGACATCTGTTGTTGCGCTCGAGAGAGAATTGAAATTCCAGACCCAACTCCAACACCAACACTCAAGTTGCCAAAGACTCATGTGAAGAAGAAGCCTTCTGGTAAGTTTCTTATAGCCATATACATGGCACGCTTTGAGTAAAAACATTTTTTTCATTTTTTGAATGAAGCAAGTTAAATTCGTCCCACACCAATCTCAATGGACCGATGAAGAGTTTCAAGCATGGTTGAAGGCGTTGAGAACGACATAGACGGCGAACTTGAAGGAGCTCAAACCACAATTGCAACCAAAATTGCAGAAGTCAAGGAACAAATAGCTCCACTTAAAGCTACCAAAGCTACTCTTGACCTCATGGATACTTACCGTTTAGAAGTAAAGAGTGGAATAAGACAATTAAAATTAAAACTTCTAAACTACGAAGCTATACTCCAAAAGTTAGCAGAAATGAGAAGACTTTACCAGAGCTACTTACATGTAAGGGACTTACCTTCAAGCAGTCCGACCAAAGATGAATTTTCTGACATTGTCCCAATTTTGTCCGAAAGTCAGCTCAGATGTTTTGAACTGCTCCCAACATATCCAGAATATGAACGTTTGCCTGAACTCTTCCGCAATCTCAAAAAACGTTTTTTGGTTCTCATGTTCGAAACTTTTATCGGAAGAGACAACAAACGTTCAGAAGAAGAACAAGATATTATTTTAAACTTGTTGTATGACTTAACCGTCATAACAAGCTTTTTGAAGTAAAACCGTCATTCTCAAACCACTTCATTTTTTCGATGTCCGAACAAGCACCGAAGCCGAACACAATGGCAGATGTCCTTTCAATGTTGCCAGACAAGCGCCCAGTTCAAATTCAAATTTTGAATTTGAAAGCTCATCTGACAAACACCGTTAAGACTCTCCAAAGTAGTCTTATGGAAGAGATGAAGGGACTTAAAGGTGAGTTCCTCATGAACCAAGCTTCCAATGAGAAAGTCCTGAACGATTTGACGGAAACCTTGCGCATTTACGCGAGAGAGAACCGAGACCTTGCCAGACTCATCTACCGTTTCTTCGAAGAGATAGATGCCATCTGGAAGGTACTCGGAAAGGACAGAACCTCCAACACCGTACTTCGTGAACACAGAATTGCCGAAGGAATTGTCGAGGAAGAAGAGAAACACGAAGAAGAGGAAGAGGAAGAAGAGAAACACGAAGAAGAGGAAGTTTGGGCAACCCTTGTTGCCGATGACACTTACGAAATTTCCCAACCCTACCCATACCAAATCCGCAACAAGGAGACCGGCAAGGTTCTTACCCCAGTTCTCAACAACTTGGGACACTTGAACCTTACCCTTCGGAATTACGGTTCAATCTCCATGGGCAAGCTTGTCGCAATTCAATGGGTTCCAAATCCAAACAAGAGGACGAAGGTCAGACACATTGACGGTGACAAGCTCAACAACCGTAAGGAGAACCTCGAGTGGTTCTAAGAGTAAAAAAATTTTATTTTAGGGGGAAACCCCGAGTAAATTTAAGTTTTTAGTTGCGTAAGCGGCTTAAATTAAGGATAATTTGGACAAGTAGTTCCTGACCTCTGAATTGGACTCTTTCGTCATCCCAGTTGCGTAGGAGGTCGTCCCAGAGGAGTTGGTAGAATTGCCATTCCAAGGACGATTTGTCCTCCCAGGCATTGAGGATGTACTGCTCGTAGAGTCTCATGACCTCTCCCTTGCACCAGACACCCTCTCCCTTGGAACGTAAGGCTTCTTCGAAGTGCTCGAATGCGATTGGCTGCGGGACCATCCGAAATGACACTTTTTGTCCGTTTGGTCAATGTTCGTGTCTCGTGCCATAGTCGACGAAAATACAGACAAACAGGTTATATATGAGTTTGAGACCAAGAATGGTGTAACTCGACCTGTCCGATTCAAATTCGAATAAAAATTTTTTACTTCATGCAATGTTTTATTTCTGTGCCGTCTTCAAGTATGCCCCAGTACTTACGCTTGGAGAGGACATGAACTTCGGTGAAAATTTTGTCCAATTTGAATTGACCCATCTTTTCACCGACCATTCCCATTTCAATGAGTTTGTATCCTTCTTCGTTCGTCATGAGTGCGTCGATGTTCTCATAGTAAACCTTGACTTTGGATTTGACTTCGGAGAAGAATTTGTTGTAGTTGTCAAGGACTGCCTTTGCGAACTGAGGGTAAGACCAATGTTCGACAATAGGTTTTATGTGGTTACTAAGCCACTTGACCTTGAGTAAATTCGTATTTCAAAACAAAAGGGGAGAACCTTTCAACAAAGTTGTCGACCTTCTCATAGTGTTTACTCTTCATCTCTTGAGGTTTCTTAATGGAATATCCCCATGTCGAATTCATAAGCAATTTGAGTGTCATTGCAAGTTTGGGGTTTGAAGCTTTCCTAATATCATACAGTTGTTGTATGACTTTTCCAACTGTATAGTTCCTTCCTGGGAACTCACGTCTTCGTTTGGAATTCCAGTCGGGATATATTGGACGAACCTCATGTACGCAGCGTTAAGGTCGACATAGTATATCTTTTCATCTGAGTCGAACTTGTCGCAACCAATGGGTCCAGTTCGTGGAAATTCAAGTGAGTCTCTTATCTTCTGAGAAACTTCGCCTGTTATCTCATAAACATCGTCGAAGCAACCTGTTTCATATAAAACCTTCTGACCTAACTCGATGCTCTCCAATACAATTTGACGTCAATTGGATGTCTCAATGGAAGTTTGTTTATAGCATCTTGAAGTTCTTGCAACCTCATTGGAAGTTCTTCTGGTTCAGGTTGGTATCCGAACAATCCAACTCCTTTTGGAACTGTGTACTTCTTTTGTGCTAGAACTTTGTCTGGAACAACTTTTGGTCTTGCTAACAATGAAAAGTTTGTTTCGTCTTTTGGTACAAAAGTTTCTGTCAGCTTGTCATCTGGAATTGGTTCCAACAAACCTTTCTCGAAAAGAAATGTTTACAGCTCTGACAATGTTGCACTTGCCTTTTCCGAACAATGGGTTTGTAAGACTTTCGTTCAACATGAAGTGGTTGTGGACAATTACAATCTTCAACCATGGTAAGTCTTTGTCAACAACATAGTCGTCATGTGAAGAACCTTTAGCTGTAGGTATGTTGACTCGGATATTGACATTTGCCAACGGTGCAATTTTGCCAATTGACCTCTGAGAATGTACCTTGTCTTCACACATGACTCAAGATACTTCATCTTCTCATCTGTAACAAGACCAGAGTTCCTGAGACATGTAAGAATACAAGGTTCATTGACAATTGTTTCAATTGAATTGTAAATTCCATACCTTGTCAAGTCAATGTCAGACTTATTTATGAACGGGAAGTATCCAGCATGTTGTCTGACTGCTTGAGGGTTAGGTTGGTACCATTCGAACTTCACTTGCAATTCCTTCAATTGCATTCAAAATGTCTGAGTCGGAGTCAACCATTTGTTCTCTCTTTGTAGTCTTGAAAGCGTCAAGAAGTTGTGCGCTGTTGTGACATTGCCATGTGCATAGTAAATGTGACCGTCCAAATCTGTTACGGTTAGTCTGAGATTGTATCCTTTCTTATTTCCGTCTTGTATGGCAGCAAGTACTCCCATGAAGCCTTCTTTGTTCTTTCCTTCGTCAAAGTTTACTGTAAAGGTTCGACCAGATGTAATTTGACTTCTAACTTCACGATACTTTTCATATGCATATCTTGTTCTTTCCATGGGAGCATGTTTGTCTTCACCTTTTCCTTTTTTCCTCTCAAAGGATGCAATTGTTCGTCATGTTTCCAGTAGAATCTGGCAAAGCCGTCGTGTCCTTCAACTTGAGGTTCACTAACATCGAAAGGCATGTCCATAAGACGTTCTTCTTCTAACCTCTCTAGTCTGTTTGGATAATTTGCGCGGCGCTGTTTCCAAGTCCATTTCATAGCGAAGACCAGACAATTTGTCATAGACTTTTATGGGTCTTCCCTTCCTATATTTAAACTTCTTCGAAACTTTCCAACCATATCTTTCTAACTCTGCTTTTATTCTAGCAGATTTTCTATCCATTCTATATGGGGGCATTTTTATAAAAATAAAAAAATATTTTTTTTCTTTACTTTACATAACCGCCTGCTGCCATAAGTCTTTGACGCCAACCCATACCAGCTAATGAAGGTTGACTTGGTTTAGTTTGGAAACTAACTTTGGTTTTGGTTTATCTTCAGTTTTTGGCTTCCCTTCTTCTATCGGTTTTTCGTCACTTTTCGGTTCCTCTGACTTTACCTCACTTGCAGGTATGGTTGTGTCGTCAACATCTTCATAAATATCATATGCCATTTGTTTTTGTTTTCCTTTCAACTTTTTGTGTTTGTTGTAAAGTTTAGAATATTTCGACTCTAAGTCAATGAGATGTTCTATAATGAACTGTTGGTCAGTGAAGTAAACTTTTCCATCTGTTGTCTCGAAAGCTCCTTCAGACTTCAATATTTTATTTGTGAGAGTCTGTTTCTTTTTTGAGATACTAGCCGTTCCATTTCTATGAAAAGTGACTTTATAGTTAGGGTTTGTATTTCCAGACCTGGCACTTTCTATTATTGAATTTTTCTCTTCATCTGTAAGTTCTTTGACAGGTTTTGACAATGGTTCTGAACTTTTTGTTTGTGGTGTCAAATCTACCGTTTCAACTTCTTCGGTCATTTCATCTCAGTAAAAAATTTTAGTTTGGTTTGTTTTCAACTGGTTGTTTAGGTTTTTTAAGTCGGTCTAAAACTTCCTGAGGTATAGGAAGAACTTGACAAACACGTGGTTGTGTAACTGCTGGAAGTCGACAAATCCATCTTGAACCCATTTGTCTCAATGCTGTATTGTTCATTTCATCTCAGTAAAAAATTTACATTCCCCACGTTTGAGGCGGTTGCGGTTGGTTATTGTTTACCCACTGTTGTGCATGGTTATATCCTCTGTTAAAGAATCTTTCACCTTGGTCCATATAGTGCCCTGCTTGGTTATAGTAGTCATTTGCTTTGTTATAGTAGTTTCCTGCTTGTCTTCCTACATTGTCCATCCATCCTTGAACTTTTCCTCTTGTTTCAGGATTTGGAATAAGATTTGCTGCATCTCGTGCTACCTCCCAACCTTTCTGTACAGTTTGTATAATAGGTTGTGCTTTCTCTTTAAGTATACCTAATGTACTCAAAATCTTCCTTCCAATTCCAAATGCACCTCTGGCTATTGTTCCCACTGCGGGCAAAAATCTGGATGCAACTCCTGCTAATGCGCCAAATAAACCCATTTCTTATAGGGTAAAAAATGACGAATCCAAACAAGGACCCCTATGTTTCTAAAGCACAAAGAAAGCACTCATGATAAAAATCTTTAGTTCAACACCAAATGCTTGGTTTATGGATATCTTGGAAAACATTCCGAGGTATAGAGAAGATGGACCACCATACTGGCTAATATTTGTCGGTCAAAACACAAGATACTGTGAAGCCATACCATTACAGTCCAAAAATATTTTAGATGTGAAAACTGCTTTGACAATATTCGTTGACAAATACCATCCAACAAAACTGACATCTGACTGTGAAAGTTCTTTCAAATCAGACGATATTAAAAACTATCTGCGTTCAAAAAATGTAAACCAATATTTCATTGTCGACCAAAACCATTCTGCTCTTGGTGTCATTGACAGTTGTATAAAAATCTTAAGAGACTTAAACAACCACAAGGTGGTGAGGTAGATGAAATGT